AGACCACAGTTTGATTCAAGTGCAGTGGCGGTGATATATGTGCAAGACATAAAGAAAACGTTCTATAAACGATTCCTTTATGAACCATTTCCTGTTGAGTCAAGGTGAGTGAGCATTTATTCGTTGAGAAACAGTTGTGTTAATTCTTTTCTTGCAGCCTTCTTCCTGTTCTTGCTAACCATGTCAATGCTGAAATCAATGCCGGGACCATCACCAGTAAACAGGGCATAATGGAATACATAGCTGGTACCTACTTGTATAGACGGCTGTTTGCCAATCCAAAGTAAGTTGCTTTTTCGGAATAAATTGGAACATGTAAGACACTTCTCGTCTGCGAGAAAAACTTACGTGTTTAATGTCTTCTTTGTTTTCCGCCTAAAAATGTTGTTAGGTCGAATTGTTTGTTAATGGCTTGACGTTCCAACTGGGTCGTCTTCATCAATGATCTAAATATGGTTCATAGCTCAGAAATTGCCTCTCCAAACCGCCAAGCGCCTCCTTTGCTTGGTATTTTGGTAGATTATTAGGAAAGCAGCCAAAATTCTGAATAAAAGGAAAAGCCTATACCCGTTCCACCGCCGCGTGAGCAGAAAGCAGCAGCTCCTTAGCCAGTCCTCACACAGCGCTATTTTAAGCACGGAAGTCCACGCTTTACTAACGACCGGCAGTTATAGTGACCGGCTTTTCTTCTGCACTGTGTAACTTCAGTGCTTTGACCGATCAGAGATAGACGTAAGTGCTGCGTTATACTTTGCGGCAGCGTAGCGTAGCGTAGCGTAGCGCTTCCAGCGTACGCCAGCGGCAGTGCCGAAGAGAGGATGCATATCGATCTAGCTTCACCAGCGTCACCAGCGGGCACGCTAGCGGCACGCTAGCGTACGCCAGCGTTTCTCCAGCGTTTCACCAGCGTTTTGCTAGCGTTTGCAGCGGCAGGGGAGTAGAGACTATGGGGAGAGCTGGAGACAAAACACATCGATTTGCCCGATCTCACTCGCCCTTAGTCTCTACAATGCACATCGCTTCTGCGTCTTCGACGGCCACATAGTCTCTACAATGCACATCGCTTCTGCGTCTTCGACGGCACATAGTCTCTACAATGCACATCGCTTCTGCGTCTTCGACGGCACATAGTCTCTACAATGCACATCGCTTCTGCGTCTCGACGGCCCACATAGTCGGCTACTCCCTGCCGCTGCAAGCGCTAGCAAAACGCTGGTGAAACGCTGGAGAAACGCTAGCGTACGCTAGCTAGCGTACGCCAGCGTGCCGCTGGTGACGCTGGTGAAGCTAGATCGATATGCATCCTCTCTTCGGCATTGCCGCTGGCGTACGCTGGAAGCGCTACGCTACGCTGCGCTACGCTACGCTACGCTACGCTACGCTGCCGCAAAGTATAAACGCAGCCTAAACTCACCTCCCTGGATGCTAGATGAATAGGTCCGCTGCCGCAGTAGCAGTCTAATTTCTTCGCCCGAAAGTGCACGGGAACGCGATTGGTCGGTGGGAGTGATGCCCTGTGTCGCCTCCATACTCCACAGATGTGCTACATGGCCAGGTGCACGCCTCACTGTGGCCAAATGTGCTTCTTGTCTGCGTCCTCTCACTTCTATTGGTTTTCCACCCATTAGTGCGTGTTTCGCTGCGGGACTTTGGTATCGACGCAAATGCTGCAGACTGAGGTAGCGCGGGCGCAGTATAGGTACGACACCCGGGCATCATTACCCTCCATCCTGCTCCACGCGCACTTTTGAGCGGGGATAGTGGCACACTACTGCAGCTGCGGACCCATTCACTTTGTCCGGAAAAAAAGAGACCGCGATCGGAAGTGAGAGTACAGTTTGTCTTTATATGCTATGGAAATCACGGAATCTTCGTTGTAAGAGCATGGACCGACGGAGATGAACGCACATTCAGTGCTGACAGCAGTTTTTGGGCCTTTATCTGTGCGAAATAGCCTGTATTCCGTATGGAGGGGGAGTTACCTTTAGTTGCATAAGCTTTTGTTGTGAGCAAAATCCTCCCAAGATCTTGCTTTTCGGCACGGTCACCGCCACCTATTTTATGAATACACTCATTTGTTATGTTACGTTGGTCCCTTATTACAGCTACTATGGCCTCGAAAATCTCTCGGAAGAGTCGCTAATTGCATTCTTGGTTGGGGTAGTCGATGGGTGTGTTGCGGATCTGCTGGATTCGAAGTGCCTTATCATAGACGAGGTATCTGTCATTCTTTCAGGATACTTCTCGGATGGTTTTCCTTGAAGCGATGTCTCTATCTGCTGATTTCTTTTCTTTTTTCAGGAGACAGGGATGCCTACGTTCTTCGCCATATGGTCGCATTGCTAGTGTTTACTATCTTCGCCATGAAACCATAAAGTTTCTTTTGGAAGAACTTGGCCCCGATGATACCATCGAAGATCTGCTCAAGACTCTATCTGTAAGAAATTGCTTATTATAACTTAAAGGAACGGTCCGCGATCACTTATGAAAGTGTAAAAAGTTATGTGGGAATGTAGTGTGGTCCAAGTTGGACCCGTGCCAGTTTTGCGGCGGAAAGTTGTACGGTAAAGGAATTAAGGCGCAAAGTTGCTTCAGTGGTACATCCCTTTTTCCAGTGACTCCGCCTCCAGACTCCGCCTCCAAAGTCGGCCTTCCAGCCAAAAGTAATGCTACCGGGCAAGTAGCATGAAGTGGATGCTTCATTGTCTCTTGTAGAATCATACAGCTCATTACAAGGAATCAGCCAACAGGACTCGTCCA